AAACGAGTTCAATGTAATGTTGATAGCTCGTCGGTCCGCCTCGAAATCCAGGATTTCTGTCATTACTTCAGCTGTAGGTGTTCCTGCCATTTCCGAATCGGTGTTGACGAAGTTATGGAAGTCCTCCAAGTAGTTCTTGTATAGCGTATTCCTGACAATTTCAATATTCAGCTCGTCCAAATCCTGATGGCTCAAGCTTCCCTTGAAGTAAGGCGCAAGCGGAGTCTCGATCAAGACGCTGTTGTAAAGTTCTTCGATGTTGGTCGCTACACAGAGAACAGGCATCGTCTCGAACCAGCCCAAAGGATGGCATCGCTCCAGTAACTCCCGAGTATCTCTTTCGTGGAGAGTTCCGGTAATCAGAAGAGCAACGTTATCGATCATGTAGCCATAAGTCAAGTAGTCCATGAACTTTGCAAGGGATCCAACTGCATTTGCCCGTACATATCGAAACTCGGAAATCAATTTGTCTGTCGTCTTTGCTGCGAGAGTCGATGTCGAAGGATTTGGAGGAAGTGAGGCCAAAAAGTCGCCGTACGCTGGACCAAGCTGGAGCTTGAGATCATCAATAGTCTCGCATTGGATCAGGTTGTTGTAGTTTTGTCCAGTCAGAAGCCCATTGCGATATCCCCGCACAATACCCTCAATGTATCCATTATTGACATTGAAGAAGAGGCCTTCCATTTTCGTGAGTGATTCGAGGATTCGAGTGAGTTTTAACGGCGTTGAACAGATAGCGAGCTGTTCCCTCAAGGTGACATGCTCGTGGAGTGCTGATGAAGCTATCAGGAGTCATGTGACTCGCGCAGTAACTGGTCTAAGCTGACTCGGGTTAGTAGCCGGGCACCCCAAAATTATCCAGAACTATTTTTTCAAGTTCGGCTGCATAGGTATAGGTTCATATTTTCAAGCACTTTTCCCCGCCAACATTACAGCTCCGAATAGCATCCTATCGAAATGGGTTTATTCGTTCTGAGCGAGACATCTGCAGGATTCGCCCTTTTCAAGGCTCGCGACAAGCATATTCTGAAGAAAGATGACTTTAGCACTGTCGTCGAGACGGCTGCAGGCCTCAATGAGCTGTGAGTTCAATTGACCCAGAAAATTCGGATTGCCAGTCGACGCAGAATGCTAATTGGTTTCCATATGTAGATTGAAGTTGAAGAAGTTCGAAAAGTTTGACAGCGCCGCAACTGCTCTTGAGGAAGTCGCAGCAATCACCGAAGGAAAAGTTTCTCCTCTCCTGGCACAGCTCCTGGACTCCCTCAAGGACGAAAAGAAAGCTTCTCTGGCTGTCGCAGACCCCAAATTAGGACAGGCTATCAACAAGCTGCCCGGTCTCACCCTCACACCTATCTCCGACTCCACTACCAATGACATTTACCGTGCGATCCGCGACCATTTACCTTCTCTTATCCCGGGTTTGGCGCAAGAAGCCATCTCTACAATGGCACTCGGTCTTTCGCATTCGTTGTCCCGTCACAAGCTTAAGTTCTCGCCAGATAAGGTCGATACTATGATTGTGCAAGCAATCGCACTGTTGGACGATCTGGACAAGGAGCTGAACACCTACGCTATGCGAGTCAAGGAATGGTATGGATGGCATTTCCCCGAAATGGGCAAGATTGTGAACGACAATTTAGCCTACGCTCGTATCATTATCAAAGTCGGCATGCGCACAAACACATCAGCCACCGATTTATCTGATATTCTCCCGGAGGAGATTGAGACAGCTATTAAAGCTGCCGCCGAGGTTAGTATGGGTACCGAGATCACTAAGGAAGATTTGGACAATATTCAACTTCTTGCCGAGCAAGTTGTTGGCTTCACAGAATACCGTCAACAACTGTCGCTATACCTGACCGCTCGAATGGCAGCAATTGCACCAAATTTGACGGAGATGGTTGGAGAATTGGTTGGAGCTAGACTTATCGCACACTCTGGATCTCTCATGAACCTCGCCAAGAGCCCTGCCAGTACCATTCAAATTCTCGGTGCTGAGAAGGCCCTGTTCAGAGCTTTGAAGACTAAGCACGACACACCAAAGTACGGTCTCATTTACCATGCATCTCTCGTTGGCCAAGCCACCGGAAAGAACAAGGGTAAGATCGCACGTATGCTGGCAGCTAAGGCCGCAATTGGTCTTCGTGTCGATGCTCTCTCCGACTGGAGTGCTCAAGGCGAAGGAAAGGGTGATGACGTTGATGATGAGGAGAGGTCTGCACTCGGCGTCTTGTCAAGAATGAAGATCGAGCGTCACCTACGGACACTTGAAGGAAAGCCATTGCTCCCAAGAGGCGTTGCTGTCAACCCAAATGGAACTGCTGTTACCCCAGGGAAGTGGGAAGTCAAGGAGGCACAAAAGTACAACGCCGATGCTGACGGACTTGCTGGCGATGAGCCTGCCGCTGCTGCTCCTGTCGAGAAGAAGTCGAAGAAGGAGAAGAAGGAGAAGAGGGACAAGAAAGATAAGAAGGAGAAAAAGCCTATGATAGAAGTTGTCGCTGAGCCGGATTCGGATGCGGAAATGGCAGATGTCGACGCCGGTCTTGCTCTCCCAGCCCCAGACTTGAATGGTACCAAGGCAAAACCTGTAGCGCAGACAACCAAGGACGACTCCGACGAGGGATCAGATGACTCTGATGCCCCAGCTGACAACTGGCAATCGTCCATCGTTGGTAACACCATTGAAGCGAAGAAAGCCCGCAAGAAGGAGCGTCATGCTCGCAAATTGGCACTTGCCGAGGAGAAGCTCAAGAAGAAGGCAGAGAAGAAATCCAAGAAGGAAGCCAAGGAGATCATTACCCCAGCTGCCACACAGGAAGTCGAGGACCCAGATATCAAACTTGCTGAAGCCGCCGGTCTCAGCTTGAAGAAGTACAAGAAGAAGGTTGCCAAGGGCAAGATTGCTGTGACCGTTGTTGAGACTACCACATCCGTCAAGGAGAATGGAAAGGAGAGTTCGCCTGTCAGCAGTAAGAAGCGGAAAGCCGAGGATGTTGAGGTCGAGAAGTCGGAAAAGAAGAAGAAGAAGAAGAGCAAGAACTGATTGTCGTCGTCTCGACTTTCCTTTTTTGTATCATAATGCTTCTTTTACTTTGCTCTTAGGATGTCGGCGTGTTGGATGTCCATATGGCGTTTCGGTTGATAATCATGATAGGGTACATTTCATTAGGAGGCTTTGTCTGTGGCGCTATTCTGTCTTGCATCAAAATAAAATTATAGTACTCATAGACTCAGAAGTCGCATACCTTATACCTTACCTCCGTGCTTGTGATGACTTGAGTTTCTCTCACATTTTACGATTGGTGTACATGTACAGCTACTCATTTCCCTTCGAGCTGTGATTGTGAAGTTTAAGGAGAAGGTTTTAGCTAATCTAGCTTCAACATAAAGGCTTGAGAGACCTTGCAGGAGCAGATTGGTTGGTTGAGAACTTTGCAGGCCACATCTTGTAGACGTTGCAATATCTGGTCCTTTCACGCAGTCTTGTCATAGAAAGAGTGTCCCCTGCATGACTTAGGGAAACGATTTACGAGAGCATCCGAAATCTGCTTCATGGGTGCTGGCCGAGGCTCGCGCAACACAACTTTAAGGTGTAACTCCATTTTAAAACAGCAAAGAATTCAATAGAATATAAACAAATTTTCAGATCCAGTATGCAAACACTCAACTCTAGTATGAAGGAGTCCATAGTCAGATCCCTACATGCAACCGGGGTGACAACGAATAGACTGTGAAAGCGGATTTAGACCACTAGCCAACTACTACATCTGACATAAAGGAAGTTGCTTAAGCTTGGAAACTTCAAATGGCCTCCGCAAAACTTGTCTGTGGCTGAGAATAGCGTCATTTGCTTATTAGTAGCTCGCTGAGGTAACCGAAGGACGAAGTAAATATCTTGACATTGGCTAGCATGAGGGTAATGAAACAATGAATATCTGCTAATGGATGAGATTTGGAAAGAGGAGAAAGGAGATGCTACCTTCGTGGCTCATTTGGAAGGAGATCCTTGAATTCCAAACCAATATTTTAATTCAGGAAGACACACTTCACTGCATGGCTAGAGCCTCATAGAGATATGATTCAGATTTAAGGCCTCAAAATATAAATGATGGAAGAAGATCTAAAGCTAGGATCCGAGATCCTGCTTTGTCGGTCCAGGGGGGGATCTAACACAGCAAATCTTGTCAAGTCAGTATACTGTAACTTAAGAGCTGTGAATTCATAATTGAAGTTTATAAATCTAGAAGCTAGTACACTTTACAATTGACTGCAACTTGATTGACTGGGGAAAAAGTCCGTTTTGGGTCCCATACCCTGATAAGTCTGCAAATAAATCGATATTATTTGGCGAGTCGAGACCTTGTTGATCCATTCCCTGTTATATAGAGTCTTTCCATTCCAGTATCGCTCGACCTATCAGTAGAGGTGATAAGCTGATTTGATAACCCATATCACTCATAATTCTGAATTGAAGGAGACTGAAGTCGAACATGGTTGAAGATTTTCACATGATGATAGCCTGGTTCTGGCAAGCTTATGAAGCAAGCAAGTATCAGATGACCATGGAATATCAAAGAGCACAACTAGAGGGAGGAAATTCCCCGTCACGATAAATTTCTTTGGTTCTCTTAAATTACATGCTGCTTACTGTCAATGAAAGTATTAAAGAACACTCAGAGTTAACAAAAACACGTCAGTCTCTTTCGCCTTCTTGCTACGAAATGCAGTACCTGTTTCTGATTATCAGGCTTTACATCGACTATATAAGTTCAGGACACTTTACACACAGACGTAGACATCGAAATATCTCGCCAAATCTCCCACCAGAACTTTCCCTCCCTTCTAAACCTCACCTTCACGCCCCTTCTCGTCACCCACCCATCCCAACAAAGCCCTTTCCAAACTGCTAAACCCACACTCCCAGCCCCAAACTCACCTTCGAATAACCCTAAATAAGCCTCTCTCGAATATCAAAAACCAAAGAAAAAAACAATGGCCGAGTAGTGCAATGGTCAGCATCTCACATCCATAATGTTCTGGATTGCGAGCGCGCGTGCGTGTCATCGGATCTTGTATCGTTTACTGTATTCTTATTGCTTCGGCGTTTGGGTGTAGGATTATGTGAGGATGGAGGTTCGATTCCTTCCTTGGCCACTCCCAAAATCTTCTTATTTTTTGGTGTTTTTCTCGAACGCTTTTGGAAGGTGCGATGCGATGCGAGGGTTTCTTTTGTTTTGTTTTGTTGATTTTGGTGAAGCGAGGCAGGTGCGAGGGAGGTCCCGTGATTCTGCTGACAGAAAGATCGTGGTCGTGCTTTTCTTTTTCTGTAATTTACAGTATGTCAAGAGAAGTAGACTCAGAAGAGGCCGTACATATCGGTTCTTTTGCAATCTCAAAGGGATTCGTCTAATGTAGTCAGCGTCTATGCGAAAGTTGAGAAAAGCGTTAGCGACGGAGTATGAAAGTTCAAAGAGTACAGAGAAGAAAGAAGGCAGCGACGCAACTTTATATTGGCGCATAGTTTTCAGAGTATCATTGGGAAAGTGAAATTTTGGAATCAGTATCTTTGCGTATGCTGATATAAGGCTTGATTTTGAGGATGCTTCAAAGCCATGACATTTAAGATATACTTAGGAAGTGGGTATCGATGGAATTCTCCTTGACTTTAAGGTGGCAGGCCTGCTCGAAATAAATTTATAATTAGATGACTTCAAGAGCCGATTTTCTATATCAAAGGTTGATGAGAGAGTAGGGCAACGGGGAACCACTGCATCGCCACAGATTAATTTAGGAGAAGATGAGCATAGGTATGATTTCAAGAAGTAGGTACCCACTCTGATTGTCACAATACCCACAGGAATAAAGGAGGCTGAAACGAATCACTACAAACTATCGCATATGACTTAAGCAGCCACTTAAGCTTCCGACTCAGAAGCTTCTGGAAAGGGTAGGCGGTGGACATAAGATCATTGACTTTCGGGAAGTGACATCTTTTTGGATAGTTAGGGCTGTGGTTTTGTCGGTTTTAGGAGTTCTAGAGCGAATGGAGAAAGTGATTGAATGTAGAAAATGGATAGTAGATGTCCTTGATCAGCATGGGTACATGCATGGAAATTTCTGTCACTCTAGAAAGGCTTTCCGTCAAAACCTTGGGGGAAGAAGATACTCTCTTCTTTGAGGATGGCAGATTATGCATGAGCACCGGGTACACATCAGTCATACGTAGCTTCTAACAACATTCTGTGTGTTTTGAAAGTATGGCTTTTGCCTCTTTTGGAAGAACCGTTATTGGAAGGTAGAGCTGTTATTGAAGGAATAGAAGTCTGTCAATCGATGGATTCCTCTTTTACCTACTCAGCGGAGTCTCGATATAACCAAATATGAAAGCAGTTGCATTCTGCAATTGAGAAACAAGGCGCAGTGCAGCATGCAAGTCTTGAAAGCAATACAAAGTACGTGGTGATTTTGTAGAACTTCAATGAACTCTTGTATCTATTAACATGCTACGCGGTGAAGCACTTGCAGCTCCGGCAGTCGGCAAACTGTGAGATAAGAGATATGGCATCTGTCTTGAACTGCGAGGCAACGCAAGGAGCATTAAAAATCAAGTGACTCTGAAGCTGGTGACCATGTATGCTTCCATCGAAAACGCCTTCAAATGCCCATCCCAAACACCTAGAGACCATACCAATTCCCGGCTCTCTATCCATCCACTTCCATCTTCATCTCGGGTTGCTGTCCCTTCAGCACCTCTGCCTGATCAACCATCGCCTGCCTCTCCACGTTCCCATCCGCCGTCCCTAACACCCCCCTAATAATCTCCACAATCTCCGACTGCTGATCTTCCGTATACCTATCGTCCATCTCCTCCACTATGGTATTCAGACTTTCGAGCTTGGTCGGTCTCAGATTCATGATCATGAGAACTTCAGCTTTGGTGAAGTTGAAAGGACGGAGTCGCTCGAGGAGTACACTGATCGTTCGCTCGGAATAAGGAAAGGGCTTGGATGCGAGGGGCGAGGGAGCTTCGTGGAAGTACTCAAGGAGCTGTGAGGGATCCTTGTTAGTATGGTAGGGCTGTGCTGCATGAAGGTGGTGCGGGGTAGGTACTTGCCTCTTTCACAACGGTCTCGAGATTCCCTGGTCGCCTGCCTTTGGTATCTTTCTTGGCATATCTTTTTCTTTGCTCCGTCAAGTGCGTATAGACCTCATAATTGGTGAGCGTAGCTGATTGAGCTTCTATGATCTTCATTGTCGATCAATGGCTTCAAAGACTGGTTCTTCGCATGAGGTCAGCAAAGGCGCATTAATGGCTTTTGATACGATTCTTACTGGTGGGTTTCGGAGAAGTTAAGACACCCTATAGTCAATATGATAAAGCGCATACGACACTGACCAGTGGTTCCTGCCAAGTGTCTGATTTGGGGTTAGAAGTGCCTTGAATTTCTGTTCCTGTTCCGGGTAATCCCCATCAAAAGCAGATGAACAGCACGCGGCTGCACAAGTGGTCTACAATTGTTTTCTGCCGATTCAGCCTTGTCGTCGGAATTTAAGCGAACTACAGGGGAGGAGAGGCAAAAGAAACAGTATCCGACCCTGCATGTCTAGCTTCAAGATAAAAAGTCTCATGAAACACATTCTGATAAACATTTTCAAAGTACTTGTGTTCAATGTACGTTTGAATACAAATCCTCTTTTCTCCTATCGTGATACATCACTATGACGACATGAACAACAAATTCACATGCAATGCAGAAGCGACAGTAGCTCGAGATTTGCTGCATCTAACCCCGCTAGCTACTAACTGCTTTCGAGTTAGCGGTAAGCTTGAGCTCTCCGACTTGCGAACTTTTCTTTGAGCAAATCTTCATCCGAACTCACGGAGACATCTTTGCTCCTCAGTCATACACTCTCTACTCCAACATCAGATGGATCACACATATCAACCTCGTTGCCGCCAGCTCCTCTTATCGTAGCACTATCCTGTTCTATCTCTTCCCGCCTATTGCTTCTTTAGCCGTTCAATTCATCAATTCATCAATCACGACATCGGGTTTGCAGCGGTCGTCAAAGCCCGGGCACCTTCAAAATCCCGCATTCCACCGAGCGACGTTGGCCTTACCGATCTTCGACTTTCGAGCATAGCCAGTAGGATTTCGATCCTCCAAGCTCATCATGGTCCGCAATATTGTCGTCCTTGGGGGAAATTCCCACCCTCACCTCGTCAATACAATCTCCAACATTCTGGGCGTTCCGCCCTGCAATCGTATTCTAAAGAAATTCTCGGTCGGAGAGAGCCGCTTGGAGATTGAAGACTCCGTTCGAGGAAAGGATGTCTACATCATTCAATCTGGAGGAGGTAATGTCAATGATCACTTTATTGAACTTTGTATCATGATATCTGCATGCAAGACAGGATCTGCCAAACAAGTCACAGCCATCTTGCCATTGTTCCCTTATTCTCGACAACCAGATATTCCATACAACAAGATTGGAGCACCCCTGTCAAAAGCACCCACTGGACTCAGGCAAGGGGACTTCACTTTTGAGAGCCGTCCACCCACACCTGGTGCTGGACCACAATCGCAAGGCCTTACAAACGGAAATGGGATGGAAGGACTGCAGAAGAAACTGGGAAAAGCCTCAATTGAGCAGCAGAATGGTCTCTCCTATACAAATGGTATCACACCCCCAAGGAGATCGGATACCAATGAGTCGCTTATCTCCATGAATGGCCGTGGTCGGGGCAACTCAGGCTCTACAGCTCCAGCATTTACAACCCATGACTACGAGAACCAGGCCATGGTAAAGGATGCTAAACACATATTCCAGCCAAAGCCAGGATACAAGCAGTGGGTCGCGCAGGCCGGAACCTTGGTAGCAGATCTATTGACCTGTGCCGGGGCGGATCATATCATCACTATGGATTTGCATGACCCTCAGTACCAAGGCTTCTTCGACATTCCAGTTGACAACCTGTACGGGAAGTCATTGCTCAAGAGGTATATTCAGACCAAAATTCCGAACTTCAAGGATGCCGTTATCGTCAGTCCAGATGCTGGCGGAGCCAAAAGGGCCACTGCAATTGCGGACGATCTGAACATTGAGTTTGCATTGATTCATAAGGTAAAACATCTCCAAACTCTGAATTTGCGCAAACTTATACTCCTAGGAACGCCGACCCACCAGAATCACAGACCGACAGAATGCCACCATGATGCTTGTAGGAAATGTTGCAGATAGGATATGCATTCTTGTCGATGATTTGGCGGATACTTCCAACACTATCACCAGAGCGGCGAAGCTTTTAAAGAAAGAGGGTGCCACAAAGATCTATGCACTCCTCACCCACGGTGTCTTCAGTGGAGATGCCATCGATCGCATCAATGCTTCTCCGTTGGATAAGGTCGTTGTAACAAATAGTGTTCCCCAGGATGAGCATCTCCGAGTTTGTTCCAAGTTGGAAGTTCTAGACGTCGGACACGTCTTCGCTGAGGCAATCCGTCGCGTTCATCATGGAGAATCCATCAGTGCTCTATTCTGGGAGTAGTCGAGGCATCAGGAGTCCTTTCTTTCTTTGGTGTTCATGTTTTGTGTTTGGTCTGGACAGCATTTTCAAGTTTTGGCGTTTGGGGACTTTGAAGTCGGTCATTCGGACGGTGGGAACCTGCGTATGTGTGTCTTGCGGTAAGACTCGTCGACATACTGTGCCAAAGGATACAATTGCTATACCATCATTGATACCGCAAAAATCGCGGATCGATCATACTGACTTCCAAATCTGCGGAAGGCATACTTAGATCACAAAGTCCAATATTTATTGGCTCACTTCCACTGAACGCTTCCCAAGTGCTGGATAAAAGGCGTAGAGAAAGTTTCATATGAGCACGTCTGTAGAAACATAAAAAATAGGATGTCTTTGGACAATAAAAAGGAAGCTGTGTTATGCTGCCAAAATCCGCACTTCGTCGAATGGGTGATTCAGGCTGAGAGAAGATGTAATAACGAGGGAAATCTCTATGTAACTCCTCAAAATTATATTTTTGACGTTCGTAACAGTCGTCGTGTAGAGGTCAAATTTGGGCCTTACTAGATAATTGACGTGTGGCACTGAGGCGCTCGAGCAGATCTTCGCGCGTTCCCTATCTCTCGTT